TCACACACACACACACACACACACACACACACACACATGCACGCGCGCGCGCGTGTTCACATTTTAATTTTACTATAAATGATTTTACTATAAAATCCCTCTCGATACAGACTTCAATTGATCTCCTTAATTATTTCTATTTTTCCTTCGTTTCTTCGAAAAACAAAAAAATATATAAAATCAAAAGTAACAAAATAAAAATAAAGAGAAAAGTACAACATTAGTAATAATACGCTGATATGAAACTTATTAAATTACAAATTTTTGTTTTGCTTTCTTCTCTGTACATTTTTAAAGTGCATCACTTAAAAAAATTATCTGATTAAAAAAAATTAAAAAACTCTTGTCACAACTAACAACTCTTGTCTCAATCAAATTTTTTAATGTAAATAAATTTATCTGTGTAATTGTATTAAATATTGTATTAAATTTACATTTGAAGAAACTTATATTCTCTTGTTGAAAGATTATTGATTTCGCAGTTTTATCCTCCGCAAGGATGCGTGCTCCTTCTTACTTAATCTTCAAAACGATGTACTCGATAACCTCTCCAACTTCCGTAATCTTCGCGAGAGACGCGTGTTACTTAATACTCTGGGAATGAGTTCCGGTTACTAATTTAAAAGCGATTACTCAACGCGATGTACTCAACGAAAGATTCATCGGCGATTTAATTATTTCAACGTTGCCTTCGAGGACTGATAAATACGCAGAGACAAATTTTCTTATTACTCGAGAGAAAAAGCAAAACAAAAGAGATTAGAGTAAAAAAGAATATATTGCAAATCATTCGCAAAGATCGCTCTCGATATCATTATATTATCATATGTCAGATCAATAATAATAACTCAAGAGTTAATCTTTTATGCGTAACAAATTCAAAGCAACAACTAATCATGCAATATATGTAGTTGTACCAGGATATAAATGCAATGTAAAATTGCGATATATACACGTGTCATAGAAGAGTTCTCAGGCGAGATTTTATTTTCTGCGAGGATAAATGTTACGTTACAGTTTACACACACGCACAATACGCCATATATTTGACACATTTAAGCATTCTTTCCTGAAAGCAAATGCTTCTAACATCATATATCGTCGTCGCGTTTATCAATTAATGATGACACGCGACTATCAGCCGACGACACGTGTTCCAGAACACGACCATGCCACTACCGATCACCTTCGTTGCTTGGCACGGCGACACCGACCGCACCGATGTCGAAAAGTCGGTCTTACGGCGGTTGCGTTCGCGCAATATAGTTAGATCGGTTGGCACAATTAAAATTTCTGCAGTATACTGATCTTACGTTATTCACTTATTCTCTTCAATTTACATTTTGAAAGAAATATTTATTTTTAATCGCTTAAAAGTTGTTGGATATTTGACAGTTTTTATAAAGAAAAAAAAAAACGATTTGAAATTTGTCAAAAGAATTTACAGTGCTTAATTTAAATACGTTCAGTGAGGAATACTCTGTATATGTAGGTCTAATTCATTTTAACACCAATTGCAAATATTAAATCTGACACAATTATATCAATTATAAAATGTTGTTACAATTATAGAGACGTCTCTACGTTACAAATGATGAATAAAATAATCTAGACAAATGTGAGAGACAAATATATATGTAAACAACAATGTAAGAACCTTGTAGAGGACCGAATTTCGCCATCCAATTTCTTCTTAAAATTCTTTGCAAAATATCAATAAATACAAAATATAATTGTACCAATTCTAGTAAAGAGTGTTACGTTCGCGCGATCTCACGCTCTCTGATATGGATTTTCTAGGTCGGTGCCTAGAGTCGATGATGACGACTGAGTTGCTACTACAGGAGCGAGCTACTACAGGACAAGGAACGGAACGAATATACGGATGAGCATGCGCCACTGTTCGCGACTCCTCTCCACCGTTCCTTCGCGCGGAGCATTGTATCCGCGGCGTGATCGTCAACGGGGTTGTCGGAATCATTATCCCGCCACCTCGAGGGGCAGCAGATAACAAAAACGCAGTTTATTTAAATGAGTCCCATCAAAATTGACTTTATCGGAACTTTGCAACTTATCCTTCTCTATTCTTCTGTATTTTAACGTACATTATTAACATACAACCATTTTTTCCCAATTACATACATATATCGCAGGATCATCAATAACGGAGCAGTTCATAAAATTGTAAAATATAAAAAGAAAGCAGTGAGAAAAAAGAGAAACATAAAAGGAGTTACCTTTTGACAGGGACTGTAAGGCGGCATTATTATTCATTCACGTAATTTTTGTCCGAATGGCGAACTCGAGGGACTCAATTGCTATTTATACATGTATTTTGAGAAATATGCAAAATATGGTATTACATAAAACTTTAATAGAAAAACAAATGGTAGATATAGACTCATTTTTTGATAAATGATATTGCATCTTTTGCATCTGCGATATCTGCGCAAAAAAAATCTGTTACTCATTAAGTAAGTATTACACACCCTCCTTTTGCCCTCTCCCCTGAAAAATAGTAGAAGAAAAATTTTCAAGATTACGGTATACATCGACCTTAATATATAAATATTAATCATTTTATATCATATTATTTTTTAAATAAAATTCATATTTTTCTTAAGATTCTACGCACATTTTTCAAAATGACAACATTTTAATTAAAATATATTAGATTCTTTTATTTATTTGTGTATTGAAATATCCAATTTGTCGATAAAAGTGAAAAATGTCTCTCTTACTAATGTACATATACATGAAGATTTAATGAATATTCCGTAATAAAACAAAATGAAACAAATCAATCGGTGTGCGAATAAATAACAAAATAAAACAGAAAACCATCCAGGACAAAAAAATATTCATTTTCACATTGAAATTTGTTTGAAACATTTGTATGTATGTACATACAATGTTATAACGATCAAGATAGAATAATTGAAAACCGATTTACACGACATTTTGTGATGTATGTACCTATCTCCTCGAAAATAAAAAATTGAAACGATAATTTAGTAAAATTCTTAAAGTTTTGAAAATGGAATAGAATATTTTATGTAATCGTGTTTTATCGTAATTTTTTTAATTATACGAATTTAAAAAGTGTGTCATTTTATCTCTCTCTCTCTCTCTCTCTCTCTCTCTCTGTCTTTTCATTAGTTTAAAGTCATCAGTAGCCTGCCTATTTCTGTCTCTGAATATTGACATGCACAACGATGGATTATTTGGTAGCTGGGTTTTCATACAAATTAATATACAAATAACTCTCTTAAATTCAAAATAATTCTACCAAAATAATAATGCAAAGGCAGAAGTCAGCAATTATCGATGATTACTTAAAGATGCATTTCGATGTGTTTGTTTTATTAAAACATCAAAACTTCGATCGAAACAAAAATGTCAAACTAAAATATTGAAAAAATTATTTGCGCTTGGTAGAACATAGAGCTTGGTAGAAGGAGAAAAAAACAAGATATAATTTGAAAACTTACTGTCTTCTTTCGATTTGTAAGATTTGTTTTAATTAAGAAATAGAGCATCTGCATCTATATGACTATTTTATACAAAAAGAGGAAAAAATCGACAATATTAGTTATTAAAATAACATTCTTAATACATAACACACATATATATATGTATGTTTCTAAATTTAAAATCGCAAAAGTCAACATGTAATAAGTACGCGCATCTACTGTTTGTTCGTTATTTACTTTCAGTCAGTCGCTTTCACGAAAATTTCACCGAATAGAACTGTCAACTCTTTGTCAGATTCGTGTACAACTGTCGATATCTGTCCGACGACTTGATCGAGCCCGCGGCATATTAGTCTGAAATATTCATCTCCTGCGAAATGTCACACATACATGTACGTGAATGCGAACGAAATAATGTTTCGATTTACGCATGGATTGCGTGGACTAAACGCGCAATATCGAAAAATATGCATCTAAACTAATGAAACTGCTATGTATTAGCAGTAATTAGCTCTGTTAGAACATACTAGTTAAGAGTATTATAGGGATCAGTGTCTATTATTATATACATAATACTGTTGAAAACATTTCTGTGTGCAACAATTTATTGGGATTAAATTATTATAACGTCTAAATTTAAGTGAAATTAATCGATAATACAACTTGATACTAAAAACTTTATATTGAAAAATCAATAAAGCAACATTAAAATACAATTATATGTAATTATTGTGTTGTTTAAAGTAAAAATTACATTCTTTTCAAAACTAGACATTCAATATAATACTGCGCACCTAAAGTAAGAAATAATTGGTTCATCTAATACACATGATGAATGTAAAAAAGTTTAAATCATTGGCTAATGATCAATTGTTCAACGATGCAAAGCATGTATATTCTCCTTATAAATAAAAGAATAAATGATTATATACATATAAGAGAATTCTTCCGAGCTTTTATCTTAGAAATGCGATCTTGGTATATATATAATAAGGTTAAAATAAGAGATGAATTAAAAAGCAGCAGATTCTTGAGAACGTTAATAAAAATAGTGATCGACTGTAACTTAAAGACCAAAACAAATGTTACTTAATAAAAATTTTTATACATAATATTAAACGATATGTTCATTAAAAATATTACATATATAGTCGTTTCATGTATACCTTTACATTAAAATTATTAAATATAATATTACATTAAAAATAAAGTTAAGGATGCAGATAATATACAGTTTAATAAACTTATTAGAGATTAAAAAATTGGCCTTGCAGTTAGAGTCAGAAATGACTTTTCATTTTTAACATTTCTTTCATCTGTTAAGTTTTTACTATTTCATAATCCTGATCTGCGTTGCGCGCATGCACGTATGTACACACACACACACACACACACACACACACACACACACACACACACACACACGCATACATACACCGATGAATTTTGGAATAAACTATTTAAATTAAACTGCATTGTTCCCAAAGTAAATCTTTTCCTTACCTTTTAAAAGTTTTTCGACGTGCTCTCTGCATTTGATGTACTAGTAGATGATGGACCAAGAGCACACTTTATCCGATTCATCCGTGACGATTTACCAACGAAAAAATTCACATGGTATTCTGGTGTTCACGACGCCATGGAAAATGGTTGAAAATTGGTAAAAAAGAAGACGCCTCATTCGCAGCATGACACAACGTAGACTGAGAACTGCAAATTTCAAATAGAAAATTGACTTGGTCGATTGGCCAGCAATTGGTCGATTGGTGCGTGTTTTAATACTCAATCAACCAATCAGATCTCCCTGTCTGTGCACGTGTGTGTGTGCACGTTGTAACACACCACACCACACACACACACACACACACACACACACACACACACACACACACACACACACACACACGCGCGCACACACACACACACACACACACACAAAAG